GACAGAGGTCATGAATTAATTTTTTTCAGGAGGAACACTTTAAGAGATAATGTTGTTAATGTGCTCATGTCAATACGAATAAACAAATCAGAAGTTACACATGATAGGCAAAGGACTGAGGGCTATAAATAAGCCCCAAATGCTATCTTTCATTTTTCTGAGAATATTTTTAAAAATGTTTTAAAATCATATCAAAAAAAGCAATATCCATCTCTGAAAGTGTTTCAGAAATCATAATTTCAAGGAGTTTTAATTATTTATTTAAAACACACATCAGAATTCTAATACAAATAAATTAGAAGTGTATTTTTAATAGTCTCTTGAGATAACTGTTCTCTCTCAAATAGCCTTTGTACCTAAATAAATTTTTGGTCTATCACTGAGTACAGCCAAAAATAGGACAAGAAATTTTGGCACTTCTTAAAAACTAGATCTATATTAGAACACTCACTAATTCACTTGTAGTAAACAGCTTATTCTCTTTATAAGTCTTCAAATAAGTTTTAAGAGTTAATATACTCCTAACAGAGACAAAGATGAAAGGCTGTCATTTGCCAAAGTAAAGCAAACAAAACATTTCTGAAATTATTCAGTGGCACAGTACAAAATGTTTATGACAGAGACTGAGTAAGTTATACTAGGCACAGAGTGGGTCCTTCTAACATTGGAAATCCCAAGACTACCAGAAGTACAATAAGCCACAAAGACACGGGATTTTAGCCTAGGTAGGGCCCCCAAATCACAACAGGCATCTCCAAAACTATACATAACAACAGTCTGGGTTTGTTCACTGTGCTTTAAGCAATAGGAATTCATGCTTCCAACAATGCACACCCTTGACCCTAGTAGCTCCTAATTACTCAAGTCACTCAACAAGCACTGATTAAATACCACATGTGCCAGGCACAGTGTTTGGGTATGTAATAGCCAAAAAAAAAAAAAAAAAAAAAAGAAGTCTTTGTGATCTTATTGAGGAAACAGAACACGAAAAATTCAAGGCTACAGTGCAAACTATAAAATGCTCTATGATTTCTTTGCCTCTAATTATTAGTTTTTTGGTGCTGACATCTTTACATATTATTACTACGGAAGTTAAATGTACACTGCAGGTAGAAAAAGGAAGGGTTAGGGATCAAGAAGCTCAGATTATTTCTGTGGCCTTTGGCCAATCACTGGGCCTCTATGGGCCATTAGGAAACTGAGAGTTTGGGATTAAATTATCTCAAGTGTTTCCAGTTCTAAAATTCTATGGTTCTCAATTTGAAATCATTTTTAATGGAGTCCTTTGGAATCTTAGCAGTCATGGTAATCTAACTCTAGATGCTTCCATGTGCTCTGAGTTTCAGAAAACCAGATAAGCATAAACCACACCCTATACACCTTTCACTCATTCTAAAGAGGTGTTTTCATGACTTTTCAATCACTTAAGAGCCTTTCTTTAACTTAATTTCAAACAATATGTCATGTGATCCATATCATTCAAGTTTTCAAATTTAAAAGGAACACATCTTTATATATTCTAGATATGTATATATGGATATACATACTCTATAAGTCAATAACACATCCCCTTTTCATCATTCTTCAGAGACTATTAAAATAACTTTGTATTAATATAAATAACATAAGATTGTATTAACATAAAAAGCACCATATGGATCATATGGCCAGCTGAATCCTAATTCAATGGATATAGTCAAAGAAAAAAGGGGCTTTGTGGATTGGCATAAAGTAGCTATCTCATCTTAGGACCAGCTACATAATTTGTGGGGCCCAGTACAAAATAAAAATGCAGGATCCCTTGTTCAAAACTTTAAAATCTCAAGATGGTGACAGCAGATCATTAAAATAAGCATAGGACTGTGTGACTGGCACGCCCATGAATTTAATCCTATCCCTCTTTAATGCTAAACCAAATATCCCTTCTCAGTTAACAATCTATTATGAAGCTAGACTCACCCAAACATTTCTTTAAGCACTTAAAAATCCATATAGAGTCCATGGAGAAATGCCAGCTAAAAAAAAAAAAAAAAAAAAAAAAAAAAAATCCATATAGAGAACTACTAAATTTAATTCTACAGTGTTTTACAGCCTTATTTTTAGGATAAATATAAAATATAAAAATAAGTGTTTTACAGCCTTATTTTTAGGATAAAGGGCCTTACAGCGTATCTTGGCTCCGAGTATAGAAGACGATAAACACAGAATGCCTAGGCTTAAATCCCACCTCTACCCCTACGGGCTTGTCTGGCCTCATGCAAGTAACTTAACCTCTCTGGCCTCAGTTTCCTTATCTATAAAAAGGGCACAATACCAACCACTTCATAGGTTATTAATATGTTTAAAATATGAGTTAATATTTGTAAAGACCTTAGAGCAGTGCCTAGGATATATTGCTGCAAAAGCCATATTAGTTATTATTTTTATATAGAAACAATATTCACAGGAACTTAATCTAAAGAGAAACCTTTAGTTTCTGAAAGCTATTTTTTAATAATTCAATTCTACAAGTACTTACTAAATCCATTCAGCATCTTCTAATGTCTCCTCCTCCTTCAGTATCATTCTCTTCACAAGCTACTTCTGCCTTTTTGACGGGAAAAACTCCCTTGACTATAGCCCTTCCAGTACTGTTATCTGGCTATGGTGAAGGCCTAGTTTTCAAGAAATACTTTCAATAAACCTAGACAAAGTAAAAGATTTTGGCTAACAGCAAAAAATAATATGAATGACACTTACTTGAATTTTACACATATATTTTAATGCTATTCTTCCTATAACTTTTTGTGGGTTTTTTGGCATTGTAAGGTAACAGGTATTTAATAACAAGTAACCAAGTGAGAGCAGTTCAATGTAGACATGAAATGACATGGATTCTAAATTTTTCTTTTCCAGCAACCACCTCATATATACCATATTCTCTTCTGTGGAAGTCTACAAGGATCTTTTATCAAATATTTTATATTCAATTACTGGAATAAAAATGTTCCTAGCAATAAAATTTCACTGAAATTGGCATTTACATTTTAAATTTGTAAATTATTCTAAGGCCTTTATACAACTCAGATTTATGAAGTTTTAATTAATGGTTTTCCCTATTTATAGCAGTATAAAACACAAAATAAAAAAGTAGAATAAAGTACTACTCTCAATCTTATATGCCTATGTGGTGGAACTGTAGTTAAGACAGAGCTCTAACTTTTCCTAAGTGTTAAAAAAAATTATTAACCAAAAGGATGCCTACTGGAAATTTAAAAGTAATCAAACACCCCAATCTATACATGGTCCCTGGATATTATGTGAAACAATAACAGTTCTTATACTTGGAGACAAGTTATCTGACAGAAGAAACAAAAGGAAATGATTTTTCATTTAGCTGTTTAACGTCTGAACAAAATTACGTTAGGGTGAAAAAGTCAAAGTATCGCACAAACTTTACATGTGACTGATCCCAGATTTGTTTACACATACATATACGGGTAAGAAGTTCCTGCCTGTGACTGAAAGTAGAATAGCCAAAAGTTTAGAGATTTTTATTAGCTAAGTAAGAGCCCAGCTAACCCAAGGACTAGCGAAAAGTTTTGTTAATTACAAATAAAACGTAAAAATCTGGTCCTTTAAATAGATAAGGGCGATTGCTCCACTTCCTCACTCATTGGCAACGACAAAAGACTCCTCCAAATCTTTCAGATTTAGAACATACACAACCCGTCTTACAAAAATCATATCATTAATGGTAAAGTATAAAAACAATTACTCGACAAGCAACCTCTCAATTCACCTGACTTTACTGTCTTGCTGGCGTCTACCACTCTTAAACCCATACAGTCCCCTAAGGGAAAGCCACTGGAAGAGTCGTTAACATCCACGCTTTGATGTGAAAATACCAATTACACAAACCGCCAATCAACTTTAGGCCAAATGCAAAAGGAACTGTTCCTGGCCATAACCTGAAGACTGGGAAACTCGAGACCCTTCACTGTCAGAAACTGCCCCAGTTAGAGACCACCACGATGGGGGATTCTGCTGGGGGCTAGGAGAGGATGAGAAGAAAAGTTACAAGGAAGGCCTCGGAATTGAGTGCGCTAGGTTGAGAGCACGCACACTCGTAAACCGCTCTTCACCTCAAGTTTATTAATGCTGTACCCACCCGAGGGTTTTAATCCGGTTTGGGCAGAAAGAAAAAAAAAGGCAGGCGACGAGGACTGTAAAGTGGTGGCTATTTCCTGGTTAGTGTATGACGGGTAATCAAGATGCATCCATCTTCCGCTGTGTCGTAGCCCCCAGCAGCCAGAGAGCAGTCCCCTTCCCTGGTGGGCAACAGCCCCGAGCCCCGCCTGCCTGTGGAGCTGGCGCCCGCGGCGGGTGAACCCCGACCCTCCCCAGCTCCTTCCCGGCCCCCAGGGTCCCAGTGCCCCCAGACCCAGGACTGCGGCGCCATTTAGATCCGGGTCGGGGAAGACGGCCCGAGCTCTCGGGAGTGGAGCCCAGTCCTGGGAGCTCACGGAAATGCCTCCTCCCAGCTCCCGGGGTTCCTGCTCCGCCAGGCCCAACCGGAAGGAGCCCACGGGCAGCCGCGGTGCTCCACCGGGCCGCCGGGCCCTCCAGGCCGCGCCGGGCCTGCAGCAGCGGCGAACCCGGGAAACTGGCCGGGGGCGGCCGCGCCGGCCCGGGCGCCTCACCGTGTGTTCGTGCTCGTCCGCCCGGGCCCGAGACGGCAGTAGCAGCAGCAACAGCGCGGCGGCCGCCGCCACGCCGGGAGCGCCCGGCAGCGGCCTCATCCTCCGCGCTCCCACCGGCCCGGCGCCGGCCCACCGACTCCGCCTCCGCCGCCGCCTCCGCCGCGGCCGATTCGCATCCACGGAGCGCGGACAGACGCACGGGGCCCGGACCCAGCCGCTGCCTCCTCCTCCGCCGCTGCCGCCGTCGCCGTCACCGCCCGCTCCCGAGCCTCCCCGCCCCCCGCGCCTCCTCAGCCTCTTCCTCTGACTCAGCCACGTCATCCGGCCACCCCGGCACACGCCGGAAGTGCCTCGCGACGCGGGGCTGCAACCGCCGCTGGCCGAGGGAGGGCCGGCTCCGGAGGTCCGCGCGCCGGCCACCCTCGCCGCGGGCTGCGCGTTGGGTCCCTGGAGCGGCGGCGCGCCGGCCTACAGAGCGCGCGGGCGGGCACGGTGCGGCCTAGCGCTCCTCGCGGTGGCCTGGCCCGCATCTCAAGGCCGAAGCCGCCCCGGCAGCTCCCGGCGCTTCGGGTTGTGTGACCTTGGCCAAAACGCTTAGCTTTCCCTGGCTGCCAAATAAGGTGACCGTCCGACCCGCCGCCTCTCGAGTTTGAGGGATCTGATCAATAACCCTTTCCAGGCCCTCGTTTACCGCTGTGAATGAACGGGGTCCCACAGTCATCATTATGAAAGATTGTTAAACCTCTGCAGGGTTGGATGAGTGTTTTAAAGTCACTGAATGTTTATTGGACGCCCCCCCCCATTATTCAATCAAGAAATGTTGCGCTATGTCGAAATTCTTGTTCATGTATTTGTTTACTTACAGTTTGTGGGCCTCCCATTCAGTCATAAATGCCCCTTGGAATGTAAGCTTCTCAGAGCAAAGATCTTGTCATGTTTCCTGTGCCTAGAACAGTGCCATACCCATAGCAGAACTCAAAAAATACATATATTTGAATGAATATGGCATCACCATCTACACAGTCCTCTAAGCGAAAAACCTGGAACTTATCCAGTTGGCTCCTCAGCCACCAGGAGTCAACAAGTTTTAGCATTTGGTCTCTTAAAAATGTCTCAAGAGTTAATTTTTGCTCTCCTTCCTCTGCCAGTAACAATCTTCCACATTAATGTATATTGCAACAAGATCCCTGCTACCGATCTCTCCCTGTTTATAAACCCAAAAGGTGCCAGAGTGATGTTTTGAAAAAGAAACCAGATGATTTCACTCTCTTGCCTAAAACTTCTTGAATATTAGGTAAATAAATAATAGAATCACCACTAAAGTTTTCATCTGCCAAGCACTATTCTGAACTCTACATGTACTGTATTAACTCATTAAATCCTCACAAAAACATTATGCAACAGATCCTGTTAGTAAATTCATGTTTTACAGATGAGGTAACTGAGGCACAGAGAGGTTAAGTGGCTTGCTGAAAGACCAGACCCAAGCAGTCTGCTTCCATAATCAGCCTTTTCACTGCTAATGGTCTACCAACTTTATATAGCCATTTTTTTTAATGAAAGAGGTATAATAGTGGCATGGAATGATATCCAAAAGATACATTTAAATTTAAAAAGTTGGAAAAAATAGAGTAACATTCCATGTTAAATGGTAATATGTTAGTTTACCTGTAGAAAACAATCTGAAAGCTTATGACTCAAACCTGTGTCACTGATTAACTTTCTACTTTGTACGTGCCTATAAATGTTCAGCTGTTTTTTATAGTGAGCATATGCTAAATATATAATCAGAGAAAAAAAGTTCATTGATAAAGTCCAAATTCTTTGCTTGACATGCACCTGCACAATCAGACCTCAGTTTATCTCAGCTTTACCTCCCACCAATTTCTCCGCTTTGCCTTCACCCATATATTTCCTAAATACACCATGTTCTTTTATGCCTCTGTGCCTTTGCTCTTGAGAGTCCCTTTATCTGGGTACCCTGCTTTACACTGTCCATTGGATTAACTACCCTTCCAGGCCTAGGTGAATTATCACCTATTCAATGAAACCTTGCCTGATGCCCTTGGGAAGTTGGGTATCCCTTCTTTGGAATTCCAATAGCATTTGGCTTGTTATGTTGTAATTATTTATCTATTCACAATTCATCTCCTATACTTGTATTCTGACCTTTTTTTCATGGCAGGGACTATCATTTGTTTATCTTTATACCTGTCCCAGCTGCTGGGATAGTGCTTGTCACATCACAGTCAACAGTCAACAACTATTTGCTGAATGAATGAGTAAAGACATTAACAAGTGAAAAGTCAAAATCATAGCAGGATTTAAAGAACACTTTCTAGATAGTGTAAGAGACATCACAAGGCAGTACATGATTAATTGCTGAATGAATCATACACCAGTAATTGCCATAGAAATCAGGGAAAGCATCTTATACATCTTTGTATATCCTCCAGAGCACCTAGTATGGTGACTTGCTCATAGTGGAAGCTCAGTAAATGCTTTGTGAATGAATAATCACTGCTTTTGAATGAAATGATGATGGGCAATTGAAGAACAAGCAGTGTTAAGTGCTACATTAAGATGGATGAGTAGTTTCTTGCTTAAACATCTATCACCGCCAGCCTCCACAGATTTGAGATAGTGTGCATGTTGAGATAACAGTGCATGTTGTGGGGAGCACTGGGCTGGCAAATGCTTGGAGGTGGAGAGGCACAAGAAAAAGTATAAACTATTCATTTGAGGATGGCAGACTTAAAACTAGGAACTGTACACATGCAAAAGAAAACATCCATAACAGTGTGCAAAAAAAGAATTGCAAAAAATGTGACCAACTGTGTAAATGATCAACAGGCAGTAAGAGCAATGGGCAATGAGAGAAGGGGAAAGAAACTATTTCAGTGAAGTATTTGGGGAAATGTAATGGAGGGAAGAGCAGATATGGCCATAAATTCAACAAATATTTATTGAGCATCTACTATGTGCCAGGAACTCTGGTAGGTACTAGGGGAATGATCCTGATAAATGACATCAGGGGGTAGAAGTCCAATAACAGTAGGTATGAAAAGAAGGAAAAGGAGATAAAGTAACTGATTAAAGGAAAGTGTGGCTTCAAAAATCCTTGAAGCCTGATGACCTCAAGACTGCAAAACAGGGCTCAGGGGCACTGTCAAAATTAGGGTTGTTTCACCAAACTCAGGAGCAAAAAACACTGACACATCTTATTTCACCAGTTCTTTCATATAGATTAATGACCTCATTCCCTGACACCAGAAAAGATGAAGGCAAAATGCCAGTGAAAGAAGATCTCCACCTCCCCCAATGACTACACAATTCCTTTTTGTAGTAGTTCTAATAAGATTAAATTTTTGTTAAAAACCTTATGAATAATAAACAATCCAGAAAAATCACAATTTCAATTTTTTATTCTTCATTTGGATAAATGATCATCAAAAGTCTTGGGGTATGGATTCACAACATCTTCTGATTTCCATCATCAGCTACTTTTTCTTTGAAATTCTATTTCTTCTTTCTACTTTGTTATGTTTGTCTTGCCAGTTATTTACTGCAGCAGGGGTGGGGGGGACCGTCCTTCTGTTGCTATTTGCAACTTTCTACCTCCACCTTTTCTGTCCTGTCTGAAATGTTCTAGACACAGAAGAACTCCATGATTATTCTGAGTTCTTTCTTTAGGAAGCCATCACATAAAACATTTGGTTCTTGGACTGAACAACAACTAAGGCCATTAATTTCTTTGTGTGGTTCCTATTTCATTCTCTCACTTAGTTTTTTTTAACTGATCTGGTGTAACAATGAGATGGCAAGGAACAGCAGCTGCCACATACTAAAAAGATCCTTGACAATCAGGTGATAAGGCTGTCACCCTGCTTCTTCCGAACAAAGGATTCCACACTCTTTGCTTTAGACTTACAGAACTGAAAGGACCTGGAGTGTTACCAAACACACAACCCTCCACTTCAAGATAATGAAACACAGACAAATGTAGTCAAGTTACAAGAACTTATCAAGTTAGTAGCACACCAAAACAAAAACTGCTTGACTTCCAAACCAATCTTCTCTTCCCTACATTAAGTGTTCCCTACACTACTGTGTAGATAGCTAAGCCATTCTCTACTATATTGTGGGTTAAATGGACTTTGGCCAGCTAGCCTAGGAAGTTATTTTGTTTCTATGAGAAAATGAATTGCAAGTTGTGCCTCAGAATTCAGAATACATCTTTCAACTGCATATTTATCCTCTCACCACCCTGGTGAACACAGAATCTGGGCTGCAGGAATGAACAAAGACCATTTTACAGTCTTAATAACGTGCTTGGAAATGAAAATAACAAAATTTATTTATCAAACCAAAGCAAATGTTTATAAAGGCAGATGCCTAAAAATTGAGGATTGATGTTTACGATGAATCTTTCAGTATTATCTAAATTAACTACTTGTCTTTCTCAGAAATAAATCTGTTATTAATGCTTCTTCCTTCAACAACCAGCTGCAAAACCACACATTATTCTTTGAAGGAGGAGCACAGAAAAGCAACTTAATTCCTGGGGTATATGGGAGAAGGATCTAAAAATCTCAGCTATTGAGATAATATATAAGTGACTAGGACCTCTCTTTTTTAATATCAAAACAAAAAAGGAGGGGGTATAACTTAGCTTGACTTGTAAAAATATTCATAGAAGTTATCTACATACTACCATTTCACACAATTATTGCAAAACATTAGGAATTATTCACATCATTAAATATGTCAAGTGAAATTATTTAATTGTAACACCAACCTCTTGTTCATGGTCTCTCAGTCTTCATACTTTGTTGTATACACAGATTATCTGCTGGCATAATATAAGATGAAGGAAATGTGCTGGCATAGAATTGGAAGTCAATTTACCCTTAGGGCCAAAGGCAACGGTAGTGAATGTGACCAATAGCTTCACTTTCTATGGAGCCGGCTTGCAAAACCGTGGGCCAGGATGGTGGTGGTAGAGCTGTCTCCCAAGGCACCATATAGGAAATCTTTTAATAGTTTCTTTGGACACCAGCTTATAGTTTAATTTCTGATCCTCACTGTATTGAAAAATCCAAAGTTTTGTTACATAATGTCTTCCTGAAAGTGTGCACAAATGTGTTCAGTACGTGGAAATTGAATAAATTTATGTTATAAATGAGTGGTTATGTTTCAAGAGAATGAAAAATTTCACCTCGCCATTAGAGACATTTGTTGACAACACAGCTCTAGCATTTCACCTAAGTTCTTTCCTTTTCTTCTTTCACATATAACCAACCATCTTGGATGTTTAATGAACAACCAATGAGGGCTAAAGACCTGCCACTTTGGACTTGGCACTCGCAATCCGTTCCACCCATGTCTAAAAGGTGTCACATTCATGAGACCCAGGCTTCTCATTAACACTTTCAATTTTATGTTTTCTACTTATTTTCATATAAGAATACAATGCAATGAAATAGTACAATATTGCACAAACAGTGATGTACATACAAAGACACTAACACCATTAGCTGGTAATAGGTTTTGCCATGTCATTGATCTAAATGATTGTTCATCAGAGAACGTATAAAATTCTAAATTTGACATCAAAAGGAGGTTTAGAGGTATTGACTGTTTAAACAATTGTTGCTTTTATCAAAATCAAGTTTACTTAAGATGAAGACTATCTATAAATAACAGGAAGGACAATCACACCACATTGTAATTTCTTGTTCTCCTTATCTCACATTCCCTTATTTCCCCCAAATAAGGGACAAGGACAGTAAAGGGACCCTTGAAGAAACACTTGCAGAATGGTTCCTATATGCTAGGCCCTGTACAAGGTAATCTGTACAAACACTCCCATGATAGACTTGACCAATAGTGTATGTTGTGTCAAAAAATAAATGAACAAAAAAATCACCCCAAGATTCTAGAAATTGTAAACTTCAATAAGCATTGTTGTTTGCTGGACTGAGGGTTGAGAAAGAACCTTTAATTATTATAAAAGGGCCCTATAAAACTGTACTTAAATGGATCATTAGTAATGTGGCTTTTATATATCTGTGTGGGATAGAGGATGATTCCACAGGAAACAAGATTTCTGATAATTTTTAAAGAAATAGTTCTGATACTTATTTTACTGTAGGTTTAGACATCAGTAAAGATCCATGCTTTGAAGGTAGATTTATGTGCCAGGGACTCAAAATTCATGACATATTTAAGGCTTTACATCCTTTGTACAAATGGATTTACCAAGCCTGATGGTAATAATAAGAATATAGGAAAGAGATAACTACAGTCCTATCTTGGTATCTGTGGGGGATTGGTTCCAGGACCCCCCAGTACCCAAATCCCTGGATGCTCAAGTTCCTTACATAAAATGGCATCGTATTTGTATATAACCTATACACGTTCTCCTGTATGCTTTAAATTATCTCTAGATTCCTTTATAATACCTAAGCTAATACAATGCCTACATATCACTTCATTTGCATGGATTCAATACAGTACTTGGCACACAGCAAATTCAAATGTTGCGTTTTGAAACTTTGTGGAACTTATTTTTTTCCCCAAATATTTGCAATCCAAGGTTAGTTGAATCCACAGATACATAACCTATGGATATGGAAGGTGGACTGCATTTTGACCTTAAGTTCTTTCTTCCTCTTCAAATCTCTCAGCCAATAAAAAGTCAAGGATCCTCCCTTTTCTCTTTGTGACCAGAACTAAGACCTGTAAGGGATATAGAGCAATAAATGGGGTCCCCGGCATCCCAAGCTTCTGGGTCCCAACCATTCTTAGATGTTCTCCGGCGATATAACTATTTTGAAACCATACTGAAGTATAAATGCCCAGACTGAAAAAAAACACTTGGTAGTCTCATGCCTAGGAGATAAGGGAGATGGAAACTTCTGGAAGACCAATAGTCACTGATGAATTTCTATATCTGGGCATTTCTTGAGGGTGAGAAGGATTGGCTATTTAGAGATGGAAAGTGTAGTGACCTAGAATCAGCAGGCCCAAGTGGAGACCTGCTCCTTCATCTAATCAACTGAACGCTCTTGGTCCCAGACTTCTGCTCAAGATTTGCCTTCTACACAAGAGTACTGATCCCTCTAGTACTGATCTAGTACTGATCCCTCTCTAAAATCTTTTTCAGTTTGTTGTTTGTTACTAGCCCTAGCACTTAAACACCTGCTTGAATATACAGAAAAGTGGAAGAATTATTTAAAATTAGGTCGCTTATCTTCTTACTTGAATACTATGAAAACACTTTTAGAAAATGCATTTAGAAAATACTTTTAAAAATTAGATAAGACTAGCAAATACATAAGGACTAATATAAGTTCATTTCAGTAAAATCACTTGTAAAGTACATTTATGATCAATCTTTTCAGGCTTCTGATTTGGCACATTAGAGATAAGTATTCTGATTAAGTCTTCATCCGTTTGGCAAACAAGTATATGGACCAATACACTTGGTGGTGGTGAATAGAGCCCTTTGTTTTTCACTTCTCTGCACCTTAATAAAGTCATCTTCAAGGAAAGCCCAAACCAGCAGGGCCACAACAGTCTCAGTAATGAGAATAGATCTGAAGGTCAGCAGTCATGTCATCAAACTCAACATGAAGATCTCCTTAACAGGCTCAAAACTGCAAGTCTTAAAGTCCTGCAGGATGCAGGTTTAGGGAGGTGGAATCAGCGACCTCTCGGTGGAACAGGTGGAGGAGGATGGAAGATCTCCCTGGTTGGAGGCCTGGAACGAAAGATAAAGCAATCTTATTTAAAAACTAATTTGATTGAATAGTTCTTAGACATCCACAATTTGTTGCAAACTTGGAATACCATGCAAAGGACACATTTCTCTATTAATGAGACAGGACATACCTACGAAAGTCTCAGTGATACATCTTCTAGCTGTGGCTCACAATCCTGGCTGCATGTTAGACTCACCAGTGAAGCTTTTAAAAATATTCGTTCCCAGCTTCTATCCCAGACCCGTTCCATTATAACCTCTAGAGGACAGGGCTCAAGCATCAAAACTTTTTAGCAGTGACCCTTCCCCAACCATTATCCATGCCTCTTATTTTCTGGTGCTTTGCTATCTTGGAGCCTGGCTGACCCTGCAGAGACCACCTCTTCTAGGGTAAGCCATTTCCCAGAGATAGCAAACAAGCTGCTGGCCAGGGAGCACGAAGCAGGTCTTTCATATGCAAATCAACCAATCAAACCCAGGTCCCTACCACCCCTTCTAAGAGGCTCTCACACTCAGGGCCACTATCCACCTGCCCTTATCACCCCAGGGCCAGATATCAGACAACTAGGGACAGACCCCTATGCCTCCGAGCCCATCAGAATTATTCCAACTAGCCAATGCTGAATCTGCTTACCCTGCCTCACCTGATTCTTCTATGAAAACAACAAGGAAAGCTCTTGTCCACATTTCCCCGCCCCCTCACTGGCCCTGATGTGTCTTCATGCGCCCCCTTCCCCCATGGCATGGGGTGCCCCCTCCTCTTGAGATCTATGAGTATAATAAACTATGTTTTCAATGGCAATTGTCTCTGATCTGTTGACCTTGCCATGCATAAATAATCATAAAACCTAGATTTTAAAACACCAGCGATTCTAACAGGCAACCATGTAGGAGACATACTGTATCAGGGAGATGTGTTGAGAGAGGAATTAAGAATTCCAAAGTCTGTTTCTCATGACTCCATCCTCACAGGATCACTAAGTGTCATCCCAACTCTGTGTTTTCTTTCCTAGAAGCCTCCCTCCATGTTATTCTGGGTGGTTTCTAAATAGTCCCAGTGACACTCCAGGCAGATAGACCAGGGTGAGTCTATTTACAGACAGGTTCAACGATTACAGATGGCATTTCCACATGTGTGCTGTAAAACCAATATTTAATTCTCTCGGAAGCAGCTCAATAAGCCAAGAAAGAGAGCTTTGTCAGGAGCTGCCATCGAACTGTGCTACCCGCATATTTGAGGACTGAATGAATCAATGAGTAAATATTTACTAAGTGCCTCTTGAACACAAGTTTTGCATAGGGCAAGGAAATGACAACAGAGTTGGGAAAAGAGAGGCAGTCTCAGGGACAAGAGAGGGAGGTACAGTAGAAAAGGATAAGCACAGACACCCTCAGGAGGTCCTGCTCTGGTCCTGGGAGTAGATAGTTTTATGTGGTTGTCACTGAGTGACTGAACTTCATCCAGTGAAAGCAAATGCAAGGTCTCCTTCCAGCTGCCCAGCCCGCCCTGTGAACTGCGGGCTTACAGGAGGAAGTGAAAGGACAGTCAGGTGCTGCCACTAATTACGTGAGCAGATTTTGCCTGCCTGCTGCCTTCGTCCTCTCAGCCAACATTTGTGTGCCATATGCCTACTCCTGCTGGGTGTGGGACATAACAGTGAGTACAATGGGCGTGGACCTGGCCCCCAAGATGTTGCAAACGTGTGCATGAGACAGATGACAGGCAAAGCCATGCTGAGTGCTTTGATAGGGGAAGTTCGGAACCTAAGGGAACACACGGCAGAGACATTCATGCACATATCTGTGTGTTCAAGTTCAATTTCTCTGAAACTCTTTTCTCATCTGCCAAACAGGTAATGATACCTACGCTGGAGGACTGTGTGAGGCTTGGAGATGACAACTGGAAAGTAGGTAGCACAGTTTCTGGCTTGCAGTAGGCACTCAAGAAGTAAAGCTGATAATTTTATTATGATGATGGAAGATGTCTTCGGAGACCCTTTCCCCATGTGTGCTCCATGAGCCTCACGTTTTGCCCTCCATGATTCCCGCCCCTTCCTGCTGCCCGGCTGCAGGGGGCCTACAAGCACAGCCTCTCCAGGCCTCATTCTGAAGAACAACTCCAGCTAAAGACTGGCAGCCCCTTCTCAAGGAAATGGATTTGTGACTATAGGATCTGTCAGAACCAGGGAGGTAATGGGTATCAAATCAGAATCAGGGGTGGTCTGTGGAGACATGGCCTCTCCAGGACACCGGGAAGCTGGAGCTGGCGACACAACTGTCCAGAGACACCTGGGCACGGGCTGCTCTCTCCTCCCTGTTCAGGGTGAGGGTTCACCGACGATGAGTTTGGTTCAAAAGTCCTGAAATCCTGATGTTGGTTAACATTCTTTTATGGCAGGACTGTTATTTAGCTGGTATGCTTTTGTGTAATCACACACATTGTTTAAAATATTTTTAACTTCCCTATTAGCTGGTAACTAGCCTCTGTCCCCTCACTCCCTGGCTATTGCAGTCCCTTTTAGGACTCCACAGACCTCTTTACTAGTCAGCAATTAAAGGATTAACTCCTGGTACTGAGGGAGGGCGTGCTCTGATTAGGCAGTAACCAGGCTATTCCCTAAAGAGGACAGCATAGATTGTTAGTAATTGGCAAATCACTCATGAATAGCAGAATAAGTTTTTTTTAAAAAAGCAGGGGAGGGCCAATGGTTCAGCAAGAATTTGGCTTTTATTTTTCTTGACTGTCAGGACTTTACCTATGCAGAACGTGACATTGTCAGCTGCCCGCCCCCCACACCCCAATAGGGAGTAAGGAGCAAGGGAAATGCCATGCAGGGATATAATGCATGTGCTTCATTTCTTATCAGCATCTGCCTCCCTTTACCTTGTTTCGTCAGCTAAATATATGGGAAACTTACAGCAGGTGGGGGCGGGAAGTCTTTTACACTAATCACAAGCCACCTGCATGGTGGAAGATGATTTGATGGCTAATTTTTTAAGAGCTTAGGATGTCCAACCCAAGCAGAACCAATCGATCCATCCATCCATTCACTTCCTTACACAATGAATATTTATTAAGCTCCTAGCATGTTCAAGTTACTTTGCCAGGCACTGGGGTAATAGAAAAAAATTTAAAAATCAAAAACAGTTTCTCCTCTCATGAGGTTCCCCATTCACTGAGGAGACAGATATGTACATAAGGGTTGCAATGTGGAATGTATTAGAATAAAAGTGTTTGAGGAAACAAAGGAAGAAGATTCACTCTGTATGGGAACATCAAGGAAGACTTCACAGAGGAGGTGATGTTTGGACTGAGTCCTAAAGGATGTATGGAATTTCCTAAGCAGACATTAGAAGGGAGTAGGAAGACAGCATTCCAGGCAAAAGAAATAGACTGGACAAAAAAAGAATACACAGTGGCATCGCTTGTCAGGATTTCTTGGGTGAAGCACAGGTGAATACAGGAGAGGGGTGGGCCTTGACTCTTGGCAGAGCCAAAGACCACTGAAATATACAGGATTCAATTTGAAAGCTTTTATGCCAGGCGCTGGCATCATAAGCTATTTCTGACCCAGAAAGTGCACTCTGGTGCAGTGTGGCGGAGCGAGTGCCTGGAGGCAGGAAGGGAAGTGTGGCCCTTCAGGGATGAACTTAGACACTTGCAGATGGAAGGGTGGATCTGACAGCTGAATGGCAGCAGAATGGACAAAGCCCAGATACAAACTGGACCAGGACATGGGAGCTGTGACGGAGGCAGGATGAGGGTAACTCCCCGGTGTAAGGCCTGGGGAAGGGAGAGAATCATGCCACTCCCTCAGCCTGGGAACGTGCCAGGAGAAGGCAGTTTGGGGCAGAGAATGGTGGGTGGGCTGATGAGTTCAGTTTTGCACAGGCTGTGTCTGAGATATCTGTGGGGCACCTGGGTGAAGATCCCAGGGAACCGTCGGGAAGAGAAGGCTAAGAAGAAGATGGGGATGGAAAATTGATGTCTTTGCTGATGGCAAATCGAGCTCTGGGGATGGCATGCAGAGTGAGCAGAGGAGGGAACCAGAACTGGGATAACTCGGATAGAGGGACAAGTGGGTACAGGCTGCACCCACCTGTGGTCCTTGGGGCAGAGGGCAGTGGGTCAAGAGAACAGGAGCTGCTGATGCGCAGCTCTAAGAGTGGAGACAGGGACAGGAAGGTCAGCCTCCTCTCCTGTCTATAAGCAGGCCAAGCACTGAAGCCACTCGGGAGAGACAGCCACATTATTCTCTGCTCAAAGATCTCGTTGTATTATGAAAATTGCATACATGCAAAACAATTTCGTGCTTGCAAATCTTTCTTCACACCAAAAATGCACACAGACCCCAAGTTCTACCAATTACAGACTTCTTTGCAAACATCATTTCCTTGGCAAAAAGTGTTTTTCTCCTTTTCCCTCCCTATCTCTATCACAACATGCTCACGGACTCCCCAAATAATTCAGCTGCCTTCTCCGTTTACACATTTACAGGCATCTCAGTTTCTGTCCTTTAATTTCTGGAACCTGTTTCCCTAGTGGTTCTCTTATTCTCTTCCATTATTAAATCCCACAGAATCTCTGTAGCTAGTTTCAAGCTTGACAACTCCTTTTATCTTGGCACAATTAGACTGCCTCCAAAGCCCTTTGACTTTTAGGAATAAAAGATCTTGGATCTTGGAGCTCCTCTCCTGACACCTAGACTTTCTTGGACAGGTGTAGCATAATGCCTAGGAGATGGTGTCCGGGAGACAGGTGCAGCCAGGTATGCCACACAGAGCCAGTCTCATCCCAATCTCAAACCCCAGTTTCTACATCTGCAAAATGGAACAATAACAAATATCTACCCCTCAGGGTTGTGGAGAGAATTAAACAAGATAATGCACTTAAGATGTTTAACATAATACCTGTCACACAACAAGCTCTCAATAAATAATAGTATTTATTTGCCATAACCACTCTTGGTAAGCCCCTCTTTCCAAAACATATAATAGTTTTCAGGCAATAGAACATAATGCAGACTCAGGGGATTGGACTCGATTATTGCTAAGGCTCCTTCCAGGACTAGTTTTCTAACACATGCTCTCTAGTCGACACCAGGGAAACATGCCTGGTGAGTGTGCAAGTGTGCTGCAGCTTTGGGCCAGGGCGTGTTTGAGTCACAAGTGCCAGTGCATAAATGTCCCAGGGACCACATGGAAAAGTGGTAAATAACAGAGGGAGAAATGGAAGGATCCTTAGCACGGAGTCAGCAGTCAACCCCTCTTTCCAGAAAAAACAGAAAAAAAGGCCTCCTTGTTGCACTTTCTCTACTATTAATAATTCCACTCATGAGCTTCATCTAAGTTAAAAGTTTCAAAATGTAAAAAAAAAAAAAAAAAAAAGCCCATTTGAGAAAAAGCTTATTCCTTTCTTATCCCCTTCCCCACCAACACACACACATATTTTATTTTAAACATCAAAGAATTAAACTCCCAAGACAAGCCCAGGCTTTTATTCCCAAGGGCTCCTCTCTCCATCGGCAGACACACAAGCTGGCTTTGACCACTTTTTCTGTTACTCCGCAGACCATAAAAAAATTCCCACCAGAGGCCCAAATACCATATAAACAAAGATGTACATCAGAGCCCGGTAAATTAGTCAAACTCTCTTAGTCTAATGCGCATCTCCAACTCTCCAGATGTTTACTCCTCTCCTGCATGAAAAACCACTCATACTGATGAGCTCTTACTACAGACCAAGAACTCAATCCTTAGGACTCTGTGGGGAATTCCATTATTATTCCCATTTTATAGACAAGGAAACTGAGGTACATGAAAGTTCAATATTTCATGCAAGTGCCACAAGTGGCTGCTGGAGATGTGACCCGGGGCAGGGCCACCTCAGAGCCAGGCTCACCACCTCCGTACCAGGCACCCTCTCCCCTGCATTTTCATTCTGATTCCTTCTTTCTTTTTTTATTTCAGGAAAATATGAGAGTACCTTCTTATCTCCTGTTCCCCAAAAGCCACTGTGCCCACAGTACAGGCAAGAGAGCTGAATTCTAGACCAACAAGTAAAAATTATTTTAAAAGGTGACATTTTTCAATGTATTTCACTTATGAAATATTGCAGTTGCTATTTAAAGGATGTGTAACGGAACAAAACATGATTTAAATGAATGAAGAGTTCAGGCTGAAATGTGTCAGAAGCAGGCATGTCTATTAGCTCTGTACTCATTCTTAAGTCATCTTAGACGTCCTCCTCTCCCCTGGAATTCAGAAAGTGGGGGGGAAAGTGTCCTCTCAGCTTCAACGTTACCTCTGCGAGGCAGCTCGCGGGGGCACCCTGGGGGGCCTCTCCAGGGGCACAGGGGGTGTTCCGTCCACTTGTAGGGGGCCTGGACTGCGACTTCTGGTAACCTCGGGGACTTCATTATCCTACAGCAAACAAGAAGAGAAAGAAAGGTGAAAATGAGATTAAGCGACCAGCATGGCTGGACACCCATATCCCAAAAGGCCCTCAGCCCTCCTTAGGCCCTGGCTGAAGGTTGTTCACAACTGATAATCAGCCCAGCAATGCCTGGCAGCTTTCTAAATCCTCCTGGCTTCAGGGAGGGAGACAATCTGGCCCAGATTATCAGTAACCCGGGGAACTCGAATTCCTTGCTACTCAAGGTGTGGTCAGTGGCCCATCAACATCAGCCTCACCTGGGAGTTTGTGAGAAATGTCCGCCCTACCCACCCCAACCCAGGACCCTTTCCAAGAAGTCTCCAGGGTTGGTGGTGATTTATGTCTCCCCCTCCTGCTTGTCCACTGGTCACAAGATCAGGGTGAACACGCTGACCCAAATTGGGCCACCTTGGAATGAGGCCTCAAACCTAAAGCAGCTACTTACTCTCTGCACGGAGGCCTCATGGCGTCCAGGGGGCTGTGCCACTAGCACACGGAGAAGCAGGAAAAGGCAGTGTGCAGGGAGAGAGGAAAGCAGGTGTGCACAGAGAAGCGGAGACAGACGAGCTTTTGGTCCTGGGACACCCAGGACAGGGACGTGGACTCTCTCGGCATGCTGCTCCTCACCACTCTTCCGCTCCCAATCCTGGCCCCAGCACGATCCCTACCCCTGGACTCCTAGAAACCCACTGGCTCCCTCCCACTGATGCCCTATTGGCTTAGCCGGTCCAAGTGGATTTCTGTCTGTCTGTCTATCTACCTCCTTCCTTCCTTGTTCTAGTTATCGAGGGGAAATTCAATAACATAAAATTAACCATTTTAAAGTGAACCATTCTGTGGCATTGAGTGTATTCACAACAGTGTACAACCACCACCTCTATCTTGTCTCAAAACATTCTCATCACCCTAAAAGGAAAGCCCATCCCCATTAAACAGTTTCTTCCCATCCCCTTCCCTCCAGCCCCGGGCAACCCCAGGTCTGCACGTCTCCCCGGGCCTGCCCATTCTGGACATTCCATGCACATGGAATCCCACAGCTCGTGGCCTTCTGTGTCTGGCTTCCTTCACCGGGCGTCCTCTCTCTCTCTTGCGAAGAAATGACCCCTAGGACAAGACAGATGTGGGCGATCCAGGCTCTCACCTCGTTGTCCCCCTCCATCCCGCTGCTCACGCTGAGGAGGCTGCGCGTGCTGGACCGGTTACTTGCGCTGCCTAAAGGGAAGAAGAAACAAACTCAGCTGGACTGCGACTCTCTCAGGCTAAAATAAAATGCAGAACTCTAGCACTCTCTTATTATTACTAATAGAAACAATACATGAACTGTGAATGTGAGATTCTTCAAAACCTGGTCATCTTACAAACCATTTTATTAGAGTTCAGTTTTCATTTCAGCATAAATCAAAATGGCTCACATTTTGATGACTGTTTTTGCCCTATAGCTGCCATTTATTGGGGCTACCCCGTGTAAAGTGCTTCAAAATTGCCATTTAACCCCTATGAAGATCCTGTTTGATATTAGTGCTCCGATTCGACGGACAAGGAAGCAGAAGAGCTCTGATTCTCAGTTGTGCAGTGGTATTTCTAAAACCTGCAAGCTAATTGTATTGCTGCAGTTTTTTACTTATTTAGGAATTACAGCAAGCATGTACATGTATCACACAAGCAGAAACACCTTCTAATAAGGGGCAAGGCACTTTGACCTGAACGACACAATGAACCACACTCTTTGGGAAAGTTATCTGCTAGCAGGAAGTAAAAAGCTGTCACAGGCACTGGCTCTGTGACTGTGGAAATTCCTGCCCCGAAGCTCCCATTGTCCTTCCCTTGGCATTCTTAAATCTTTAGCCCCAACCTCTGGCTCTGAACCTTGGCTCCCTAGTTCAACAGCTCTGCTCTCCTCCTCTCTTGGCTAATGCCCTGTGTGCCCACGTCCCCTCTAGGCTGCACAGCTGGGACGGGGCTCTGGCCCCAGCTTTCAGCATCTTCACTCTGGCAAAGGGGAAGGAGGGCACTGCCCACCCCTTGCCACGTTTCTATCCTCAGAGAAGAAGGAACAGACAAGCATCTAACTTGTGCTATTCCTGTACTTTTTCTCCTCCATTACAAGCCCCCTAAAGACAGACCCTGGGCCTTTTTCATCTTTGTGTCTCCAGTACACAGTCTAGCTCGGTATGCACAGAGCTGTCCTCAATATGTGGTAGATGAATGAGTGAGGAAAGAAATGACCATCTACAAGTATAATATGACCTTTAAGAAACTTGGGACAGACAACCTAAGAGAAGCTCCACAGTCTTTCTATAATGAAACTTTTCTTCTCTTAAACCTACTACTAATATCTGGGGCTGAAATCTTTAGATATAACCAGATTTAACCTGCAACTGTTTTTCTGTGGCTCCCAAGGGACGGCAGCTGCACCGTAATAATGGTAGTGCTGTTTTCAGGGTGTGACCCTGGGGGTTAAGGGGCAGTTGGTGGATCAGAGCTGGGCCATCCTCACTCTCCCTCCCTGCCCTGGGAACTATTTCTATCTGGAAGGCAGTATGTCCCCACAGATACCAGCACAGAAAGATCTAGACATGAATCCCAGACCTCCTGCCTACTTGTCAAGGGACCCAGGGCAAGGGGCCTACCCTCTCTATCTCCACTTCCATATCTAGAAACTCTTAGCATTGTTGTACAGAATGAATTACACCATATGGTGTCATGCTTGGCACAGGGCCTACAAACAGTAAGCATTTGACTAATGGAAGCAGCTATCATCACCATCATTGTCATCATCATCATCATCAATTTCAAGATGTTGGACTAACCATTAGTGACCCCCCAGTGAACACCACATCCCAGCATCCAAGCCTGTGTACGGCCCCTCCCTCTCTCATGCTGGCTTAGCCATGTGTCCTGCTTTGGCCAGTATGACATTAGGAAGTGTGATGCAAGCGAAAGTCTGATAAGCTCTTGCACATTAGAGCTTGTCCTCCTGGACTGTTCCCTTTCTGGATCTTGTTGCCATAAGAAGTGCTGGCTATGAATGAAAGGCCACATGTAGGATCTCTCATCCTGGAGGAGGAGAGGCTACCTTGGATGCTCCAGCCCAAGCTGAGCTTTCAACTGAATGCAGCTGCATAAGTGGCTGGTGCCACATGAAGGCACAATGAACCACCCCACTGAGTCTTGCCAAAGTTGCAGGATGAGGCATGAATAAATGGCTAGGTTGCAAGTCACTAAGTTTTGGCATGCTTTGTTGCATGGTAATTGATAGTGAAAACTGTATAACAGGGAGTAGGTGCAGACTATAGCCAGAGAGTACAGTAAAATCTACTGGTCTGCCATTCAATAGCATTTTCTAAGCAGATGAGCTAGCCAGCCCTGGGCAATAAACCACTACACAAGGTAAAAAGTAAAGTTTATTCTTTCCATCCTGTCCTCATCCCTAGCCATGCCTAAGTTAAACATATACATAAAATCTGTTCAATTAATCTGAACCTGAAATGGGTACTTTGCATTTGTCTTGTTAAATTTCCAGATGTTGCTCCCCTCCCCCATCTGGAATGCTCCGTCCTCACCCTGAGCAGGTTCTGCCACTTCTCCTCTCCTCCGCCACGTGTCTGAGAGACAGCCATCTGCCCTTTGTTCCCTCTGCCACCTGTGATCCCTGAAAAAACCTCTCCCATTTCTGAACTTGTCAAAATTCTCAAATTGTCCTGGGGCCAGGGTTTGGATACACATTATCACCCCCCATCACGTAAGGGGAAGTTTTCTCCTCTATCCAGTCTAGACTTGCCAAGTGGCTGTGTGACAGGCTGTGGCTCTGTTTCAACAGGTAATTGTGGCAGAAACAGTAACATGAAAGAGAGAAGAGCTGGGTTCTACTCCCACCCTCATCATTCACTGGCTGTGCAACTTTGGGCAAAATTCTTTCCCTCTCTGGGTGGAAAATACCCCATCTATAAAGTAAAGAGGAAAACTAGTTCACAGGTTCTTGACCTAAGTCCATGGGTGGCAAAATTGTGTATGTATGTGTGTGTGTACATACACACACACACATACACACATGGATCCAGATCATATGAATGATTCTCAACGGGGTTTGTGATGCACAAAAGATAAAGAACCCCTGGGTTAGTAGATGATCTTCCTGCTCCAACACACATTTTGGAGTTCTCTGCCTGACACTGAAGAAGACAAGAGTGCTGACATTCGGCTTCTTGCTTCCTCTTTTATTGCTTTCCTAGCGGTTTTGTTAACTCTGAAATGTATGAAAGAAGAGAAACCCAATCTATTCGGCTTGTGAAGCCAGTGTATCTGGAGTCAGCTAACACTGCCCTGGAAGCCAAGGGCACTGCCCTGGAAGCCAAGCCCCCGGCTCCCGCCTGCACATCAGCCTGTATTGTCTGTTGCAATCAGACTCCTATTCAAGCTTTCAAGCCAAAAGGAAGACACTGCCTAATTAGATCCTCAACCTGCCTGTAAAGTTGAAACTCTCAAATTTGAGTCCATTGTTTTCTAATGTTTCTGACTTTGTGCCCTCTCCTTCCCCTTACCATAGTTGGGGAAGCAGCAAGAATAGTAGCTAACCTAAGTGGACACATAGGAACTACAGTAATTGGGTATGGACAGGTGGGAGGGGGGAGGGGGGCGGGTATATACATACATAATGAGTGAGATGTGCAATGTCTGGGGGATGGTCACTCTGGAAGCTCAGACTTGTGGGGGGACAGGGACAAGGGCATTATTTGAAACCTTGAAATTTGTACCCCCATAATATGTTGAAATAAATTTAAAAAATAAAAAAAGAATAGTAGCTAAGAGTCTTGGCTCTGGATCCAGACTGCCTGCGTTCAAATCCCAGCTATACCGT